AGCCTCTCGACAATATGCGTTTTTGCTGGCTGTAGCAGCGCTATAGCGCTGCTATAGCGCTGCACCGCAAAAACGCATAAAAATGTTATGAGAAGAAAGTTCCCTGTGAGAGTAGTGGAGGAGAAGACGACGAGCGGACGTGATATATCCTTGATAGGTGGATTCGATAACTAAGTACCTGTTAAGCTGGCTGTAGATGATACCGTTGTGGACAGAAGGGTGTAAGTTGCTACGAAGAGAAGAGTATTTTAATGATAAGGAAAGTGAAAAGATCGGTCTTGCAGTACAGTGAAGAAACGATACGAGCATTGCTATCTATGGTAAGGGTCAAGTCTAAGTAGTTGACGATGATACTTGAACCTGTACATTCTATATCTAGTCCTGGCCGTAAATGTCTCGACAGAGGGCAAGAAAGTCCGGGCAGTTGAGGACTAAACTGTCGTCGACACAACGGCGGAGGAGAAGCGGTGGATTAGATTTAGTGCTTTATTTAAATTCAAGAATAGACAGTATAGACTAAGTGAGGTCGGCAATGTCGGAACTAGCATTGCCATCCCCGCCTTTAACTTGGCTGAAGATGTAACCAGCGAAGCGTACGTAGGACTTTTGCATGACAGAACGAAGGATGGCATCTATTTCAGCACGTGAGTAAACGGATCCAGAGCCAAGAGGGCTGAGGCATGCAGAATAGAAGATTCTATCAGGGGTAATGAGAAGAGCATCAGATTGGATTTTATGAAAGCAAAGGATGAAAAGATAGCTGAGGGCATCAAAGAGTTGAAAGTAAGTGACAAAGTTCACTGAGTTGAAAGTGGATGACAAAGTTCACTCACCACCAAAACTACACCACACAAACACGCGCACACACACATGCACACATACACATACATACACACACAAACACACACACACACAAACAACCTTTCGACAGTATGCGTTTTCGCATTTGTACAATATGCAGATGCACATAATATAAATAGCGGCGTGCACCAGGGCAGCCGGCGCGATCATGCGTTTTGTGCAATCCCGTCCTTTTGTGCAATTTTCACGCACACGAGATAATTTTTCTATAAAAGTTCCACGGGACCTTAGTTCGTACTCAAGGTTGCGTGAAGGCTAAATTCAAATTTGCGAGTTAGTATCTTGGTAGAGGACATCACTCAAAAATTTCAGATTCCCAATTTCCGCTGCTTGCGAGATAGTTTTCCCAGCCGAAACTTTCACCGGGTCGTAAGTGATACTCGGACTCGCGGGAAGGCTGAACTTAAAATTGCGGGATTGTTTGTGGGTAGAAGAGAATATCGTAAAATTTCAACTTCCTAGATTTTGTGGCTCTCGAGGTAATAATTTATACGCCAAAAGTTTCACGAGGCCGTATATGTTACCTATGGGTACGGGGGGGCTGAACTTAAATTTGCGAGGTCACTCGTGGGTAGGGGGCATTCCCTTAAATCTTCAGATTTCTAGCTTTTGGTTCCCGAGTTGAAAGTTACGGACAAGTTACTGCGGGCACACACACAAACATATACACACAAATACACAGACAATCCCGTGACAATATGCGTTTTGCGCAGCTGTTACACAGCACAAAACTCAAAACCAAACCCCTGGCTTGGTTGTCCCCTTGTTGAGAAGCCAATTCGCGATTTTGTGTATTCTCCTCCTGCTTTAGTTGCAATAATGCAAGCTCAGCTTCCAGACCCTGCGGCGATTCTTCCTCATCACTTCCTTTGTACTCGGCAGTCGATTTTACTGATGCACTAGCATCTATATCTCCTTGTGCTGGTAATGGTTCATTCACTTCTGCACCTCAAAATCGGAAATTTAGCCACCCGTATTTACGCATTTACACAAAGACAAATACTGTTCTGCTGTGGTGCTGGTACTGATCCGTAGCACGTGACATCACCTTCCGCACTTTCTTAGTGGAACTACTTATCCCGTGGTTAGAGGTTTGTCTGAGTGAGTGAAATATTTTGGCGTACCTGCCTTTTTTTTGGAACTAATACTTCTCAAATTAAAAAACAAGCTCATTCGTTTCTCAAATTGAAAATCTAGAAAGATCTATTTAGAAAAAGGAAATTTCTCCTCATGTTTTAATATTTCGTTTCTGAATTAAGCTCTTAAAGTACTTTAGCTCGAGCGGCAACATAAGTTACAAAAATCCCCTAACATGTTAAACTCATTGGAGCCAAGAATAAATTACAAGGAGACTTATTAACAACGTTTTATATTTCTTAAATTGGGGACGACGCGCTGTATGATCGGATTTCACGCGTCTCGTTTTTTAATTGATTTTCTAGGCTACCTGCGGAGAGCAAAATGCATGGACCCTTACACGAATGTATTCACAGAAGAATGTTTAGACAAAAGCAAATAGCCTTACACTCGTTTCAGATTTTAACCCAAAAAGAAAATAGAATTCAAAAGCAGGATGTTGAGTAATCCAGTAGCTTAAGTGAAATAAATGGGCGGACCTAGAACGAAAGTGGGTGTCGAGATGCGCAATTTGTTGTACAGAGCGGCAAAATTTTAATGCACTTGAAATTTTATGCAGCATTACCGGATGGTGTACCACGTCAACAGATCAGATACAAAAGTTTGCGGAATAAGTCCCGAAAAACGAGATGCAGAAAAAGCTCAGTTCTAACCGTCGACGGCGTCTTCATCTTGTGTGGCTGGTGCTTTATCACTCGTACTTCCTAGTGTTGATATCTCAAGAATAGCAGTACCATCATCAGCAGATCCGGTAGTCTCTTGCGCAGCCGCTGATTCAGCTTGACCTCGAAAGAGTACGTTATATCGTGCCGCGAATTTTTAAACCGGTTCGTTAGATTTAAAACTTTGAGATGGACTACATCCTCAATTTATAAAATTGCGACAAAAAATGCGAGATCCCGAAACAGTTTCACTCATGTAAAGTGCTGACCATTCCAAAGTAATCGCAATAGTCGCCAAGGAAATTTTTTGTCTGCGATTCCTTCATTTACTGAGATGCATGTGCACGACGATAATCTCTCCACTTCAGGCTGCGTTGTCCACGGTCATTTGGCATTGGTTCTCTCCGTTAAGTACTCAATCAGTTTTGTTGAACCAAGAGTTATTGACGGGAGCGCACGAAGATGAGTCGAAAAGCAAACGAACAGGCGCGCGAGGAAATATTTGAGAAGCCGACCATTCCCTACCTCACGCTTATAATCCCTTGTTTTATGCATTTTATGTACAGATTTCCTGCTTGTAACTTTGCGCTCTAGCTGCCTACACAAGCCGTTTGCTCTGTGTTGTAAATTTTATTGTTGTGCTGTATTCGTCTTGAGCCGTAATCTTGCCATCAGGATGTCGCTGCGCGTCAACATCTGCTGCTGTTTATGGTTTTAAAATAAAGTTTTTGGCTACGTTGACGATTATTTTGTTGTCAGAAATCAGCCAATCGACACCCAACAGTTTTTCAATGTCGGATCCTCGTTGTCGGCCGAATCTCATCGTCCGGAATTCGTTGCAGAGTCAATTCGGGTATGGTATAGAGCAAGTCCCAAAGCACACACACTGCGAGGACTTTACAGTTATTCCGAAGCCTCACGCAGGTTCATTAGCCGATGCACTCAATCGCAGGTGTCATTCGCAGATGCACAGCAATGGCAGCATTAGTAATAAACTTGGGAATTTGCCGCATTAATGGATAAAAACAAGCCTTACTATCATCAGTAGTAGTGCTATCAGTATGAAGAATATCATCGCTGGGAATAGACTCCGATGATAAGTCTACATTCTTCGATTGCTCTTCTGCTGATACCAACGCTTCGGATGATGATGCTGAGAAGGTGTGGGATGAAGCATTGTCCGATACTGTCAGTGTCGACGGAAGCGTCGCCGGTATAGTGTTTCCTGTAAACGATGCATAGCCTGTAAATTATCGGGTCGCAATTTCGTCTTGAAATCCTGATGGACATCAAATCGAACATTAGAAAGCAATACTAATACGTTCAGTAGGAGAAATGCTTTTGCCCCTCCTTTTCATAAGCAATTGCTGAATCCTTCATTCCCAATAAGTTTAGCTTGAAAGAATTTTTTCATAACTGAGAATTTTCGGTGAGACAACTTATCGTGGTTTTTAAAGAGAGGGAAGTAGTAACTTAAGTTTTTTCACAAATGCTTGTGCCCAGCTGCTTGCTTTGTTTCTTCTTTTTAAAAGACAAAATAAGTGTCATTTCACCAGCAGGTGAATAATCAAGCAGTGCAACACTGTTGAAAGCAACTGGAAAATTTGGCAGCTGCACCGATGAAGAAACAGGCTGTGAATTGGCAGCGGTTTAATATGCTGTAGGCAGTAAAAAACCTAAATAATTTTTTAGCGGTTCTTTGTATCAAAATTTTAAGAAATAAGAAAATAATTTGCAGCGCATCATTTCCAAAGATATATATATATATATATATATACAATATGTATATTTAAATACACAATATTTACACATACAAATATATATAAATATATATGCATACACGCATGTATATATACATACACGCACATATATGCACATATATACATATATATATATACACATACATATATATACATATATATACG